TCTCTCTCTCTCTCTCTCTCTCTCTCTCTCTCTCTCTCTCTCTCTCTTTCTCTGTATCACCTTCTCTCTCTCCCCCCGCCTCCCTATATCTCTCTCTATATCTCTGTCTCTCTGTACCTCTCTATCTCTCTCCCCTCATCTCCCTCACCCCATTGTCTCTGTATCCTCCTCCCCTGTTTCTGCGTTAGTGCTTACTGTGTATTCTACCTCACCGCTCACATATTTCCTCATGCTGAGCCCCATCCCCCTGTACATGGCTTCCATGCAGGAGCTCCGGCCAGCCTGCGCACTCCCATCTTCCCTCTGTAGGAATTCTAGACCATCCCACTGCAGATCCGCACATCTCTTTCATTACAGGACTGACCTGAACTGTGAGTATTGTGTGTGGGGAAGGTGGGAGTGGGCTGCATTATGACACTGTAAGCTGATGCTGTTACCATTGCAACGGATGCACAGACGGGTCATCTCCATCCATGCACTGCCCTATACACAGACCCTTCCTCTCCATCCCTGCACTGCTTTATACACAGACCGGTCCTCTCCATACCTGCACTGCCCTATACACAGACCCTTCCTCTCCATCCCTGCACTGCTTTATACACAGACCGGTCCTCTCCATCCCTGCACTGCCCTATACACAGACCGGTCCTCTCCATCCCTGCACTGCTTTCTACACAGAGCGGTCCTCTCCATCCCTGCACTGCTGTATACACAGACCTGTCCACTCCATCCCTGCACTGCTCTATACACAGACCGGTCCTCTCCATCCCTGCACTGCTTTATACACAGACCGGTCCTCTTCATCCCTGCACTGCCCTATACACAGACCTGTCCTCTCCATCCCTGCAGTGCTCTATACACAGACCTGTCCTCTCCATCCCTGCACTGCTTTCTACACAGAGCGGTCCTCTCCATCCCTGCACTGCTCTATACACAGAGCGGTCCTCTCCATCCCTGCACTGCTCTATACACAGACTGGTCCTCTCCATCCCTGCACTGCTTTATACACAGACCGGTCCTCTCCATTTCTGCACTGTTCTATACACAGACCAGTCCTCTCCATCCCTGCACTGCTCTATACACAGACCGGTCCTCTCCATCAGTGCACTGCTCTATACACAGACCGGTCCTCTCCATCAGTGCACTGCTCTATGAACAGACCGGTCCTCTCCATCCCAGCACTGCTCTATACACAGACCGGTCCTTTCCATCCCTGCACTGATCTATACACAGACTGTGATATTATGATGAATTGTAGTAAATCTCTTCTCACGCTCTCCGCCTCTTTGCTTGATTAATGATAAAATATTTTGGGAGAAAGTGACATCCGGGAATTCTGCGGAATGTTGAGGTCCCTGAATGGAATCTCATTACAGAACAGACCTTATTACTGAACTGCAGGGTTCTCTGTGTGTTCAGTAGATGTAGAGCTGGTATCACTGCACTGCAGACATCTGTCATCTCATGGTAACCCTGTACCATACGGTGTGTAGGAGGGGGGTAAATACAACAAGACGTATTGGAGAAAGAATGAATGCTCTTTCCCTTCCCCAGTGCAGTATGTGAAAGTAAAAGAAATAATCTGATTGGTTATTAGAGGTAGCACAGGCCAGAAATATTTCTAACATTTTGATAAATTAGGTCCTTGAGTTAATTTGTCTTCTCATCATTGGCAGACAGCTAAACCCACAGACAAAATACGTATATAGGAGCTCAAAGGATTTGTATTTCTGTCCATCCAGTCCTGAGATTCACAAAGCTCTTGCATACAGCACAGTCCTGCCAGGCGGGGGGGGGGGGGGCTCGGGT